ACCTTTTAAACCAAAAAGGGCACTCTTCTTTTATTCCTGGGTTACTTTTGGGTCTAGTTTAGGGTTTCAGGGTTCAAGGGTTGAGGGGCCTAAGGATTAAGGGTTTTGGTGTGTAGGGATTGTTTTGCAAGGGTTTCGGGTTCTTGGCTTAGTGTTTTTTTTTTGTAAGGGGTTTTAGGGATTGACCCTGCTTTGCTCTTCTTTCAGGTCCTCGATTTGGGCCGCTGGTCACGTAGGGTTTGGGGTTTCGGCTCTGGTAGGTTCAGGCTTTATTGTTTGCGGCTTAGGTTTAGTTAGGGTTTAGGGTTTAGGGTTTAGGGTTTAGGGTTTAGGGTTTAGGGTTTAGGGTTTAGGGTTTAGGGTTTAGGGTTTAGGGTTTAGGGTTTAGGGTTGAGTGCTCAGGGATTCACAAGGTTTGGGTTTAGGGTTTGGGGGCACAGCATCCTGGGGGTTCAGGGTTTGGAGTTTAGGAGTTTGGGGGGAACCCTAAACCCTAGCCCTAAACCCTAAACCCTAAGCCCTAAACCCGAAGCTTGAGTGGCTACAGGTTGCTTCGATTCAGCTCAGGAACCCTAAACCCGAAACCCGAAACCCGAAACCCTAAACCCTAAACCCTAAACCCTAAACCCCTCAAATGACCATCGCTTTAGTTCTCGCAGGTCGACTGCCCGGACGTCCGACGCGGCAGAGAGGACACCGCTGGGATGGCTTTGCGGTTCCTACTTGGAGGTTCAGGGTTTAGGGTTTAGGGTTTAGGGTTTAGGGTCTGTACTTATACGCCCCCTAAGTCCTCTAAGTAGGTTATAAGTAGAATCAAAATAGGGGTTGTAAGTACCCGTGAACCTCCAAGTACTTAACCCTGTGCCCCAAAAATCGGCCGTATAACTGCGCTTATAACCGCATTAGGGCACTTAAGGGGCTTTTTGTGTGGGTGATAAGTACAGTTCTACTTGGTTAGATAAGTACCATGAACCTCCAAGTAGGGCAGACCCTGAGACCCCCCAAAATCGGCTTAGGGTTTCGGGTTTTGGGTTTAGGGTTTGGGGTGTAGCGTTTGGGGCTGATAGTTTAGGGTTTGGATGCTTTTTAACCTGAGGGAACTCTCCGAATCCCCCTGCAAGCCCTACGCACCCTACAATGGGGGATCCGAAGTATGGGCCCTTAATTTGGGTCCCTTGTTCTGTAACCCCTATATACACTATATATACATATATATATATATAGATATGGTCCCCCCCCCCAATGGACCAACCTCCAACCCCAATGGACCCACATCGACATGTCTAAGGTTCTCGAGACACTGCACCCTGCCATGCTTTCCCTGTCTACTTCTTGTGTTTTTTGTGCTTCCTGTGTTTCTTTTGTGTTTTTTCTCGTGTATGTTTGTGCTTTTTGTATTCTGTTGTGCCTCTTTTTTTTAAAATGCTTTTTTGCACTTTTTTGCACTTTTTTGCATTTTTTGCACTTTTTTGCATTTTTTGCAGTTTTTGCATTTTTTGCACTTTTGCACTTTTTTGCATTTTTTGCACTTTTGCACTTTTTTGCACTTTTTTGCACTTTTTTGTACTTTTTTGTACTTTTTGCACTTTTTTGTGCTTTTGTTAATTTCGCCTTTTGTCTGCAAATATTTGTCCTCTTGAATGTGCTTTTCCAATCCAAAAATCCAAAAACCCAAAAATCCAAAAACCAAAAATTCCAAAAAACCAAAACTCAAAGTTCTCCGGACAATCCCCAGGAAACTTTTGATTTTTGGATTTTTGGACTTTTGGACTTTTGGATTTTTGGATTTTTGGATTTTCGGATTTTTGGATTTTTGGGTTTTTGGGTTTTTGGGTTGTTGGGTTTTTGTGTTTTTGGGTTTTTGGGTTTTTGGGTTGGGTTTTTGGATTTTGAGATTCATCGCTTGTAAGATGCTTCTATAGCTGCCACTAGTCTATACCCGTGCAGGCACTCTGGCACCCTTTCACTTTCGCGGTGTGGCCTCTGGTCGCAGGATCTGCGTACAAAATTTGGATGTCGGTGAGTTTCTGCTTTGCAGCAAGACTGAACGATGAGTGGCGTGCCTTCTCAACCCTACTTATCAAACAAAGCGCGCAGCATTCTCTCCGTGACTGTCCACATGTTCTGGTTCTTGTACCAGTACGTGAGCTGTGCTGCCCAGTATGGACACTTCACTTCACCAGGGGAAGTCTTAGAGTGGACAGTTCACTAGCCCTGTATTGGACCCAAGCCCTATTACTGTCTTGAATTCTTCTGTTCAACATCTTGTTGGCTTTTCGAGTAGGATCTTTTCAAAACCTTATTTGCTTTTTGAACAGGCTACTTAGGATTTTATTGATACAGTTTTCAATCGAGTAGCTAAGACGTTAATGAGATTCGAGCAGGCTTTTCTGTAATAATCACAGGGGGGCAATGCAATTTTAAGAGCTTGAATTAAAGGATCAGAAAACTAAATCGTCATCGCAAAGTAAGAGTGTTCATGAGATATAGACTTTTCTTAAACAGCAGGCACTGTGATCCCAGAATGGTTCTTATTGAAAAAAAGGATATTGCAGCTTCTTTCAAATGCACAAATTCGATATTTGCACATATAGGCCTTCTCTGTTAAAGTCTCCTTGGCAAAGGCCTGTGCATAACCCATATACGTGCTTTTCTCAGTGATTTGAATAGGCAAGACTTTACCTGGTCCTCATATACAGAAACCGCATATTCAAAATCTTATTGAAAATGCTATTTAGTTGTGCTATGAATGTAGTGTTCACGTTTCGAGTAGGTAGGACGCATTTGAAATTCTGCTAGGGGTACATTTGAATGGTCGCCCTCCTTTCACTCAAAAAGAGAGAACGAATATGAGCCAACCTCGAATGCGAAAAATCATTAAAATCATCAAAAATCCAAAAATCAAAAGTTTCCTGGGAGATTGTCCGCAGAACTTTGGATTTTTTTGGTTTTTGGATTTTTGGGTTTTTGTATTTTTTGATTGGAAAAGCACATTCAAGAGGACAAATATTTGCAGACAAAATGCGAAATTAACAAAAGCACAAAAAAGTGCAAAAAGTGCAAAAAGTGCAAAAAGTGCAAAAGTACAAAAAGTGCAAAAAGTGCAAAAAAAGCACAAAAACAACACAAACAAAAGCACGAACAAACACAACAAGTATTAAAAAAAGAGCACAAACCCAAAAAAACAAAAGTCCCAAAATCCAAAGTCCTGGGAGATTGTCCGGGGAACTTTGGATTTTTGGATTCTTGGATTTTTGGATTTTTTTTTGGATTTTTGGACTTTTGGGTTTTTGGACTTTCGGACTTCTTTTCCATTTCGCGGTTGGTCCATTGGGGGGGGGGGGGGTGAGCATATATATATATATACATAATAAGCCCTTTAAACAAGGATAGTGGACCACGTCACACTGAGGGACCATGGTTCCGTTTTTAGATGCCAATCCGGACCCCTAGCACCCCGAAACCTCAAAACCCCTAAAGCCCGAAAACCCCTAAACCCTGAACCCTAAACCCTAAACCCTAAACCCTAAACCCTAAACCCTCAACCCTCAACCCTAAACCCTAAACCCTAAACCCTAAACCCTAAACCCTAAACCCTAAACCTAAACCCCAAACCCTAAACCCTAAACCCTAAAAAACTCGAAAGGACAGCTACTGGCTCCTGCAGCTCTCCTCCTGGACGGCGAGCAGAACTTGGAGGACACCTTTAGGGGCGGGGGTTTAGGGTTTAAGTTTAGGGTTTGGGGTTTAGGAGTTTAAGGTTTAGGGTTTAGGGTTTGGGGTTTAGGGTTTGGGGTTTGGGGTTTGGGGTTTGGGGTCAAAACGGGTTTAGGGTTTGGGGTTTGGGGTTTGGGGTTTGGGGTCTGGGGTTGAGGAGGAGTTTTGGGGGTTTGGAGTTTGGGGTTTGGGGTCTGGGGTTGAGGTTTAGGGTTTAGGGTTTAGGGTTTGGGGTTTAGGGTTTGGGGGTTTGGAGTTTGGGGTTTGGGGTTTTAGGGGTCTTGGGGTTTGGGGTTTACGTTTTGGGGTTTAAGAGTCTGGGGTTGCAGGGGTTATGTAGGGTTTTTGGGTTTCGGCTTTGGTGTTTAGGGTCTAGGGGTTTAGGGGTTTCGGTTTTAGGTTTGGATTTTGGGTTTCGGATTTAGGTTTTTAGGGTTTTAGGTCGTTTCTGGGGTTTAAGAGGATTTAGAGTTTAGGGTTCTGGCTCTGCGGTGCTGGGTCTAGAGTTCAGGCGTTCTAGGGTTTAGTGGGTTTAGGGTTCAGGGCTTGAGGGGGGAGCGCTGTCGTGGTTTAGGGGGCTAGGGCTTCAGCGTACGCGGCTTAGTTGGGGTGATTATCGGGTTTGGGCTTACCTAAAACCCTAAACCCTAAACCCCAAACCCTAAACTTGAGGGCTTATGGGTTTGAGGGCTTTCGGGGTTAGGTGAGCCTGGGAGTTAAGTGTTCTTTCAGGTTTTCCGGTGGGTTACGGCTGTTGGCCTCCAAGACCCTAAACCCTAAACCCTAAACCCTAAACACTAAACACAAGTGAAAACGCGTGGAACTAGTTCCATTAAGGGAGGGGTATATGGAGGGACCCCTACCCTTAGTCGTATTTCCCATACAACCCCTCTACACACATATATATATATATATATGTATGTATATATATATATACCTTATATAGTCCTCATATGCCTTATAAGTAGCCCCTAATTAGCCCTTACATTACCCCTAAGGGACTTATATTTAGTGCCTTGAACAGTTGGTTTTGGCTTAAACCCTGAAAGGAGTAGTTCGGGCAGCAAGCTGGCTTAGAGTGCGATGGGAGATGGCAAGGGCAGAGGATGCTTCACGGCCCTCCAGAATCCGATCTGAGGCGTTCGAGGCATTTGTTGGGTCCTGACCTTCATAACTTCTGCGCGAGAGGAAGCCCTAAACCATAAGCGTGACACCCGAAACCCTAAACCCTGAATACTGAGAACCCTGAGCTCTATGCGAGCAGGCTCCTTCAGTGGGGACGCATGACAGGCTTCGTGTCACCTGGCAGACATCTGGTCACCTAAGCTGACGGACAGGTTTAGAGTTGGGGCTCTGGGGTCGTGTTTGTGGTTTAGGGTTTAGGGGGGGTCAGGCTTTAGGGTTCAGGGTTTAGGGGTATAAGTTTCGACATCGGGGCTCAGGAAGTAGGTTTGCAGGGTTCAGGCATCAGTATCGTCTTGAGCTGCCGGGATGTTCGTGTTAGGACGCCCCCTTACCAGCACAAGGTTCAAGGGATTCAGACTCGCAGCCCTAAGGTTGCAACCCTAAACCCTAAACCCTAAACCCTGAACCCCAAACCCTAAACCCTCAACCCTAAACCCTAAACCCTAAAGGTTACCCTTAGTATACTCCTAATCTGGCCCCTATATTCCCTTAGGGATCCTTAAAGGATGGACTCCCAAACCCGAGGCTACAACCTCAAGGGTCGGGTTTAGGGTTTAGGGTTTAGGGTTTAGGGTTTAGGGTTTAGGGTTTAGGGTTTAGGGTTTAGGGTTTAGGGTTTAGGGTTTAGGGTTTAGGGTTTAGGGTTTCAAGGTAGAACACCTAGAAAGTATCTGTTGAGTTCTTCTGGTAGCCTTTGACTTCATAGACTACACCCTACACCACGGAGAGCTTGGACGGGCTAATCCCCCCAAACCCTAAACCTTATACACCTGTAAGCCCTAAGCTTCAACAAGGGTTTAGGGTTTAGGGTTTAGGGTTTAGGGTTTAGGGTGTATGTTAGGGTTTAGGGTTAGGTATGTGAATGAACTAAATTACGTTACAAGCGACGTGAAATGTAGCCAATGAATTTTGTGAATGATTGAACGAAACCAACGAACTTTTATTTAGTGCGCCCTTATAACAGATATTAATGGCATGAAGGGCGCGTATTCGTTCTCACTTCGTGCATTCAGTCCCCAAAACCCGAATTGAAAGGGAAATTACAATGAACAACGTTAAGCGTGTTCATATTGTTGGGCTTCTTCTACGGGCCCTTATTATAAGTCCTTTATTGGCCCGCTATTTAGTATAAAAGACCAATTGTAAGGAACGAAGAGACGCACGAATTTAATAATTAGAATTTGCCAAAGCTTCAAGCCCGAGACCTAAAGGCCAAGTCAGTCAAAGCCGAAACCTTAAGAATTCCTTTGCTTCTGGGATCCCCTAGATCAAGAACCTTCAAAAATTCGGGGTACCTTATTGGGGTCCTTATGATAAGGGGGGTCCTACTATTTGGGGGTCCACATTAGGGGTCCCTTATTTTCGCAAGCCCCCATATCTCCATGATTTTGAACTTGGACAGTCTACGGACAAGCCTGTGTGCCGGCATCATGGTATATCATGGTGGGATCCATGTGCACTTACTGCAGAATGAAGCAAACCTCCGCACCCCTAAACCCTAAACCCTAAACCCTAAACCCGAAACCCTAAACCCTAAACCCCTTAAAAGCACATCCCTCAAAAGCCCTGACGCCTGACCACCTCCTATATCTGAGGCTCCAGGGCAGCATCCTCCAACTCCAGGCTAGGGTTTAGGGTTTAGGGTTTAGGGTTTAGGGTTTAGGGTTTAGGGTTTAGGGTTCAGGGTTTAGGGTTTAGGGTTTAGGGTTTAGGGTTTAGGGTTTAGGGTGTAGCATTGGTAAGCTGAACGCAATAGTATGAAGACATGCCCACCCCGAGGCCACCCAAACACTACTCATCACGGAACCAAACCGGAGCCAAAGCCAAGCCAGCCATTCAATTTTCATATATCGAACATGTTTAGAGGACACTGAGACAGAACACTGCGAATGTTTCAAATTTCACACATCGAACATGTTTAGAGGACACTAAGATAAGACACTAAGATAAAACACTGCGAATGCTTGGGACATTTGCGCGCAATGGCCTTGACACAATGCACTCGGCACAACACAGCTGGCGCAATGCACTTGGCACAAGGCGCTTGGCACGATGCCCTTTGGCACAATGCACTTGGCACAGAGCACTTGCGCAATGCACTTGGCACAAAACTGCAGTTGGCACACGCAGCACAATGCACTTGGCAGAATGCCTTTCGGCATAATGCCCTTTTGCGCAATGCACTTGGCACAATGCACCTGACACAGGCACGTGCACATGAGCGCAAGGCACTTTGGCACAATGCACTTGGGCGCAATGCACTTGGAAGTGCATTAGCGCAGTGCACATGGCACATGGAACAATGCACTTAGCACAATGCACTTGGCACAGTGCACTTAGCACAATGGACTTGGCGCAATACACTTGGCGCAACACACTTGGCACAACAATGCACTCGCACATGCACTGGCACATTGCCACAACGCACGTGATCTTGACGCAATGCACTTGGCCCAGTGGCACACAAGCGCAATGCACTTGGCATTGATTGCACAACGGACTTGACGCAATGCACTTGGCACTATAATGCAGTTGGCACAGGCAGGAGTACATTAGCACAATGCACTTGGCCTTGACACAATGCGCGTGGCACATTGGCACAATGCACTTGACACATGGAACAATGCACTTGGCTTAATGCACCTCAATGCACTTGGCACAGAGGACTTGGCGCAATGGACTTGACGCAAAGCACCCGGCGCGCAATGCACCTGGCGCGAGAGTGCCCTGCCAGGGCCAGGGTCAGGGCCAGGGCCAGGGCCAGGGCCAAGGGCCAGGGCCAGGCCAGGGCCAGGGCCAGGGCCAGGGCCAGGGCCAGGGCCAGGGCCAGGGCCAGGGCCAGGGCCAGGGCCAGGGCCAGGGCCAGAACCGACCAGGACTAGGGCCAGAAGAGGGCCAGGGCCAGGGTCGGGTCAGGCCGGGCCAGGGCCAGTACCAGGCCAGCCAGGATCAGAACAGCCACAAGACATCCCAGGCTCTGCAGCCCAGCAGAGCCTGCCAAGGTCTCGCTGAGCGCTCGACAGCGCCCACTTATGTACAGAAGGAGAGGGGTGGTGGGCGGGTTTAGGGTTTAGGGTTTAGGGTTTAGGGTTTAGGGTTTAGGGTCTAGGGTTTAGGGTTTAGGGTTTTGGGTTTTGGGTTTAGGGTTTAGGATCTAGGGTTGATTTAGGGTTTAGGATGTGGGGAATTGATCGTCCTCGCGGACCAAACCCTAAAACCCTAAACCCTAAACCCTAAACCCAAGGGTACAACCTTAAGGGTGCAAGTTACAACCCCTCAAGAAATGCGAAGCTCATGTCCTTAAGGCTTTGAAGGGTTTAGGGTGTTTAGTGTTTCGGGTTTGGGGGTTTAGGGTATAGGGTTTAGGGTTTGGGGTTTAGGGTTTAGGGTGAAGGTTGTTTAGGGTGCTTCGGCCTCGAATTCTTAACGCCCCAAAACACAAAAAACCCTAAACCCTACACCCGAATCTGTCCTGCTTCAGATTGCTCCCAGCGCGCTGCTGCCACTCTTCCCACGCAATGTCGTGGAGCCGTGCTGGCGCCTTTCAGATTTTTTGGGCTTGGTTTCGGGTTTAGGGATTAGGGTTTACTGCTAAGTGCCTAAAACCCCGCTGAAAATCCTAAACCCTAATCCCTAACCCTAAACCCTAAACCCTAAACCGTAAACCCTAAATCCTAAACCCTAAACCCTAAACCTAAACCCTAAACCCGAAGCTCTAGCCCCTAAGCCCTAAACCCTAAACCCTAGACCCTGAACCCTAAACCCTAAACACTGAACCCTAGACCCTAGACCCTAGACCCTAAACCCTAGACCCTAAACCTAAGCCCTAAACCCTAGACCCTAAACCCTAGACCCTAGACCCCAAACCTAAGCCCTAAACCCTAGACCCTGAACCCTAAACCCTAGACCCTAGACCCTAAACCCTAGACCCTAAACCTAAGCCCTAAACTAAACCCTAGACCCTGAACCCAAGCCCTAGGCCCTAGACCCTAGACCTTGGACCCTAAATCCTAAAGCCGGAGTCGTCGGCTTTGCCTCCACAAGGCCCTTGTAACCCTAAACCCTAAACCGTAAACCCTAAACCCTAAACCCTAAACCTTTGCAATTAGCTTCGCGCGGTTTAGGGTTTAGGGAGTCTTCTTATAACCTACTTGGGGACTTAGGGGGCTAATAAGTACACCTATAGTTGGGGTTAGAAGTACCCTGAACCTCCGAGTACTCCCTGTGAAGCTCTTGTCGCCTTTAGGGTTTAGGGTTTAGGGTTAGGGGTTTAGGGCTTAGGGTTTAGGGTTTGGGGTTTAGGGTTCAGGGTTCAGGGTTTTGGGCATAAACCCTTGTAGCCTTACCTCCCTGATTCTGAGGCTCTTGGTGTGGGGGTTTCCGACATTAGGGTACCTTATTGGGTCCTTACTATAAGGGAATCCTGCTATTTGGGGTCTATATTTGGGGCACCTTATTTTCGTAAGCCTCCATATGACTTCATCCAGAGTTTTAGAGAATGTAATTAGGACTCACAGTAGGCCCTCATTTCCTTTTGTTTCGGGTTAGGGGTTCCCTCGTAATCCCCTTAAAGCCCGAAAGGATACCCTCTTCATTCCTCGATTTCTCCTGGGTCTAGGCAACCCTGCGCCGCTGTTTGCATGAAACGTTCAGAACTCCTGTGGGACAACGGACAATGCTAGGTCATCATTGGGATCAAATACCCATGCCCTATGCTACCAAAGCCCCGTTAAGTTATCGGCTCGTTCGTCCACAAGGTCAAGGCACAAGGCCCCCATGGCCGTCCTCAGGGACATGCTTGGTGGGCTGTCTCAAGAAGAACGGCAGGTCCGTCGCCGCCTTGACGAGTTTGATGGCCTTACTTCCTGCCGACAGTTGACGGTCCGTGGTCTGGATGGTTCCGAAGTGCAGCTTCCTCTTGAAGACAACATGACCGTGGAAGACTTGCGCAAGAGCGTCGCGGGAAGGATCGGCTTGCGGCTGGGTGGCATGCTTGTCCTGCTGGCTGGCGGCCATACCCTGGACGATTCCAAGCCGCTGTTGGAGCAAGTTCAGGGCGATGTCATCACGTATGTGGTTCAACAGGTTGCTCTTGACATGAGTATGTTTTCCCTCATTGTTGGGTGCGCGGATCCTCCTTCGGAATTTTTATCAGAGGGGTTAAGGGGAACCTAGGTGGGTGCAGGGCATGCAGCAGCTGCGTTTCTGCGAGCCAGTGACGGCCAACCCCTGAGCGTGATGGACACACATGCAAAGGATGCAATCTCTTCGTTGGAATTTCGCCGTGAGAGCAGTCTCGAGAATGTTGAACTGCCCATGGGGTTGCTGTCGTTGAGCTTCAGGTATCGCTTCAACCAGAGCTTGGAGAAGGTGGCCCTGCCTGCCAGCTTGCAGTCCTTGAGCTTCGGAGACCGCTTCAACCGGAGCTTGGAGAATGTGGCCTTGCCTGCCAGCTTGCAGTCCTTGAGCTTCGGATTTTCTTTCAACCAGAGCTTGGAGAATGTGGTCGTTCCTGGCAGCCTGCAGTCCTTAAGTTTCGGACGTTCTTTCGACCAGAGCTTGCAGAATGTGGTCTTGCCTGCCAGCTTGCAGTCCTTGAGCTTCGGGGATCGTTTCAACCAGAGCTTGGAGAATGTGGCCTTGCCTGGCAGCTTGCAGTCCTTGAGCTTCGGAGATGATTTCAACCAGAGCTTGGAGAATGTGGCCTTGCCTGGCAGCTTGCAGTCCTTGAGCTTCGGAGGCGATTTCAATCAGAGCTTGGAGAATGTGGCCTTGCCTGCCAGCTTGCAGTCCTTAAGTTTCGGATTTTCGTTCGACCGGAGCTTGGAGAACATGGCCTTGCCTGGCAACTTGCAGTCCTTGAGCTTCGGAGAGTCTTTCAACCAGAGCTTGGAGAATGTGGCCTTGCCTGACAGCTTGCAGTCCTTGAGCTTCGGAGATTCATTCAACCAGAGCTTGGAGAATGTCACTTTGCCTGGCAACTTGCAGTCCCTGAGCTTTGGACAGCGCTTCCACCAGATCTTTTGGAATGCGGCCTTGCCAGGCAGCTTGCGGTCCGTGACCTTGGGCCATCGCTTCAACGAGAGCTTGAGGAATATTGCCTTGCCTGGCAGCTTGCAGTCCCTAAGCTTCGGCGATGCTTTCAACCAGAGCTTGTGGAATGTGACTTTGCCTGGCAGCTTGCAGTCCTTGAGCTTCGGGCGTTGCTTCAACCAGAGCTTGGAGAATGTGGCCTTGCCTGGAAGCTTGCAGTCCTTGATCTTCAAAGGCGATTTCAATCAGAGCTTGGAGAATGTGGCCTTGCCTGGCAGCTTGCAGTGCTTAAGTTTCGGATTCTGGTTCAACCAGACCTTGGAGAATGTGGCCTTGCCTGCCAGCTTGCAGTCCTTGAGCTTCGGATTTTCTTTCAACCAGAGCTTGGAGAATGTCGCCTTTCCTGGCAGCCTGCAGTCCTTAAGTTTCGGACGTTCTTTCAACCAGAGCTTGGAGAATGTGGCATTGCCTGACAGCTTGCAGTCCTTGAGCTTCGGATGTCGGTTCAACCAGAGCTTGGAGAACGTGGCCTTGCCTGGCAGCTTGCAGTCCTTGAGCTTCGGAGATGATTTCGACCAGAGCTTGGAGAATGCGGCCTTGCCTGCCAGCTTGCAGGCCTTAAGATTCGGGTTTTCGTTCAACCAGAGCTTGGAGAATGTAGCCTTGCCTGGCAGCTTGCAGTCCTTGAGCTTCGGAGATGATTTCGACCAGAACTTGAAATCTTTGGTCCTGCTGAGTGGACTTGTGTGCTTTGCTATGAGTGATTTGCGCGTTGTTGTGCACGTGTCTGCTCTAAAGCAGGGTGGCGAGTTCTGAAGTCGAAAACCAGCGAACGCCCTCAACCCTAAACCCTAAGCCTTCTACCCTCTACCCTCATACCCTCATACCCTCATACCCTCATGCCCTTTACCCTCTACCCTCTACTTGGCTACCTGGAGGTTCATGGTACTTATTAGCCAATGATAACTGTACTCAGAACTGTACTTTTAACCAGGTTAGGGCACTTCAGGGGCTTATGAGTGGGTGATAAGTGCAGTTATAACTGGTCAATAAGTACCATGACCCTAAACTTTAAACCCTAAACCCTAAGCCCTAAACCCTAAACCCTAAACCCTAAGTACCCTCTTCCGTCTACAAAACACCCACGACTCCATCTCAACCCAAAGCCTCCGGAGCTCCAGCATGGCCCGAACCCCGAAGGCCTCCAAGAAACCTATGGAAGCCCTAAAGCCCTAAACCCCTAAGCCCCTAAACCCCTAAACCCCTAAACCCCTAAACCCCTAAACCCCTAAACCCCTAAACCCCTAAACCCCTAAACACCTAAACCCCTAAACCCCTAAACCCCTAAACCCCTAAACCCCTAAACCCCTAAACCCCTAAACACCTAAACACCTAAACCCCTAAACCCCTAAACCCCTAAACCCCTAAACCCCTAAACCCCTAAACCCCTAAACCCCTAAACCCCTAAACCCCTAAACCCCTAAACCCCTAAACCCCTAAACCCCTACCCCAAAGCCCGCCTCCACGGCCAGGTTGGCGTTCATGCTCTCACAGGACCTTCCCCGTGCCCCTCCAGCACCCCCAGGCCAGGCTTAGGGCTCAGGGTTTAGGGTTCAGGGTTCAGGGGTCAGGGTTTAGGGTTCAGGGTTCAGGGTTCAGGGTTTAGGGTTCAGCGTTTAGGGTTTAGGGTTTAGGGTGTGGGGTTGAGGGTTCAGGGTTCAGGGTTTAGGGTTCAGGTTTAGGGTTCAGGGTTTAGGGTTTAGGGTTCAGGGTTCAGGGTTTAGGGTTTAGGGTGTGGGGTTTAGGGTTTAGGGTTTATGGTGTGGGGTTTAGGGTTTAGGGTTTAGGGTTTAGGGTTTAGGGTCTAGGGTTTAGGGTTTAGGGTTTAGGGTTTAGGGAATTTAGAGTTTAGGGTTTAGGGTTTAGAGTTTAGGGTTTAGGGGTGATTTCATGGGCCCTTCTGATTGTCCCTTACCTCCTTTAAAGGGTTCTGATGTCGGAGCCCTTCATGTATTTGGTATAGGCTATGTAGGGGTATATAAGGGGTACGCTTTTAAGGGCCCATACGGCCCATACTGAGAGACCATGTAACTACCCTAAGACTGCAACCCTGACCTGTTATGGTTTAGGGTTTAGGGTTTAGGGTTTGGGGTTTAGGGTTTAGGGTTTAGGGTTTAGGGTTTAGGGTTTAGGGCATGTAAGCCTGCCTCAGAGGTCGACGGTGCCGTTTACTAAGCCTCAAAGACAAGGAAGCAAACAGCCCACTTTGTAGTAAACATACAGAAACGGCACGGTGCATATGTATACGTACATGCATATGTAAATGTACATGTCATGCATATGTATACTTATGTTATATGTATGTCTTATGCTTTTCCGCATGCGACATGTATATGGATATATACATACACTTCAAGCTACATGTACACACGCACACGATATGTCGGCTGCGCTGAAGAAGCTGCACGTGGCCGCCACGTGCTTGAACCTTAGAGATACTTGGAAACACTTTTTTTCAATTTTTGGTACTAGAATCACTAGAATTCCTAAGAAACAGCTAAAGTCAAATTTTGGCTGGGGTTCCAAGCTCAGTATAGTGAAATATCCCTAAACTCCAAACCCCAAACCTCAAACCCCAAACCCCAAACCCCAAACCCCAAACCCCAAACCCCAAACCCCAAACCCTAAACCCTAAACCCTAAACCCTAAACCCTAAACCCTAAACCCGAGGAACTTCTTCCCAGTGCCCAGCGGCGCTTGGGCCGGCTGGCGAGAGGACGAGCAGGGCATCTACGCCGAGGTCCAGGTCGCCTCGCTGCCCTTCCAGCGCAACTTTGTGAAGGAGAGTTCGAGCCCCAAGCCCTAAACCCTAAACCCTAAACCCTAAACCCTAATCCCCAAACCCCAAACCCCAAACCCCAAACCCCAAACCCCAAACCCTACACCTCCTTTGGGCGCAACTTTGTGAAGGATGGTACGGAGCGGCCCCGAAAGTTCGTGATTGAGGTCGGTGCACATGCGAAGGCCAACTTGAGTCCGGAGGAATTCGGCGAAGACGCGTTTCTGCCACTGGGGCTCCCCTAAACCCTAAACCCTAAACCCTAAACCCTAAACCCTAAACCCTAAACCCTAAACCCTAAACCCTAAACCCTAAACCCTAAACCCTAAACTGAAGACCGGCCCCCTTTCCAGCGATAGGGGCCGGTCGTTAGCAGGCCACCGGCAGGGGCCTGCGGACCCGTAGGCGAAGGCCGAAAGGCGAGCCGTAGGGTCCTGGACCTCAGGTCCACGCGGCGCTCGAATAGGCCGCTTCTGTCAGCCTATATCAAGATAGCCCTAAACCTTCGTGCAAACGACCGGGCAGGCTTGAAAACCTCCTAAGGCCCGGAAGCTTAAACCAAGAGTTTGGGAACCTCAAATTAAGGCCCGGAGGCTTAAATTAAGGGTTTGGGAACCTAAAATTAAGGCCCGGGGGCTTCAGATCAGGGTTTGGGAGCCCACCTTTAAGCCCTACCTTCAAGGCCCGAAGGCTTAAATTAAGGGTTTGGGAACCGAAAATTAAGGCTTGGAGGCGTAAATTAAGGGTTTGGGAACCTAAAATTAAGGCCCGGAGGCTTAAATTAAGGGTTTGGGAACTTAAAATTAAGGCCCGGAGGCTTAAATTAAGGGTTTGGGAACCTAAAATTAAGGCCCGGAGGCTTAAATTAAGGATTTGGGAACCTAGAATCAAGGCCCAGCGGCTTAAATTGCGGGCTTGGGAACTTAAAATTAAGGCCCGGAGGCTTAAATTAAGGGTTTGGCCCCACCTTCAAGGCCCGGAGGCTTAAATTAAGGGTTTGGGAACCGAAAATTCAAGCCAGGAGGCCTAAATTAAGGATTTGGGAACCTACAATTTAAGCTCGGAGACTTAAATTAAGGGTTTGGGAACCTAAAATTACCGCCCGAAGCTTAAATTAAGGGTTTTGGATTAAGGGTTAGGAACCTAGAATTAAAGCCCGGGGGGTGAAATTACGAGTTTGGGAATCTAAAATTAAGGCCCGGAGGCTTGAATTAAGGGTTTTGGAACTTAAAATGAAGGGTCGGAGGCTTAAATTCAGGTTTTGTGAACCCACGTTTAAGGCCCGGAGGCTTAAATAAAAGGTTTGGGAACCTGAGAAAATTAGGCCTGGAGGCCTAAAATAAGGGGTTTGGGAACCTAAAATTAGGGCCCGGAGGCTTAAATTAAGGGTTTGGGACCTTAAAATAAAGGTCCGGAGGCTTAAATTAAGGGTTTGGGAACCCAAAACTCAAGCCCGGAAGCTTAAATTAAGGGTTTGGGAATTTCAAATTCAGGCCCGGAATTTAAAATTCAGGCCCGGAAGCTTAAATCAAGGGTTTGGGAATTTAAAATTAAGGCCCGGAATTTAAAATTAAGGCCCGGAGGCTTAAAATAAGGGTTTGGGAACCTAAATGAAGGGTCGGAAGCTTAAATTAAGGGTTTGGGAACCCACGTTTAAGGCCCGAATGCTTAAATTAAGGGCTTGAGAACCTAAAGCTTAAATCAAGGGTTGGGGAACCTCAAATTAAGGCCCGGAGGCTTAAATAAAGGGTTTGGGACTTTAGAAACACAGGCCCGGAGGCTTAAATTAAGGGTTTGAACATGCTTTGACAGTTTGCTAAGACCACGGAGTGGAATCGAGTCGAGCCTGCTGCTTTTGCCGTCGCCAATCCTGAAAGGGCTTGAAAGTCTTCCAGGGACCACGGAGTGGAATCGAGTCGAGCCTGCCGCTTTTGCTGCAGCCAATCCTGAAAGGGCTAAACGTCCAGCCTTGAAAAGGTTTCGAAGAACTGCTGAGTGGAAACGAGTCGAGACTGCTGACGGTTGCTCATTTGGGGGGTTCTGCTCTACCAAACCATATATCCCCCCTTGATAGGGGGGCAGGGGGGTAGACAACCCTAAACCCGTCCAAGGTTTGTATTTTGGGTGGGAGGGTGGGCATTGCAGCTCATGCGACGACCCCCAACCACTTCATGGAGGGGGTCGAAGCGCACTCGCAGCGAAAACCCTAAACCCTAAACCCTAAACCCTAAACCCTGAACCCTGAACCCTGAACCCTGAACCCCTAAACCCTACACCCTAAACCCCTAAACCCTAAACAGGACCCAGAGTCGGCCCTTACTCCCCTTCGTTCTAGGGTTTCGGCTCCCGTATAAGCCCCTTTAAGCCAAAAAGGGCTTAGGGTTTAGGGTTTAGGGTTTAGGGTTTAGGGATTAGGGTTTATTCCTAGGTTACTCTTGGGTCTAGGAGCTGTATGTTAAGTTACCCAAGTGTAAGGGTGCTACTCCGTTAACTTTTTGCGAGATAGCCCCTTGATTGTCGTATCTTAGTTGAATTCCTTTAAACCCGCAACCCTAAACCCGAAACCCTAAACCCTAAACCCTAAACCCTAAACCCTAAACCCTAAACCCTAAACCCTAAACCTAAACGCTAAACCCTAAACCTAAACGCTAAACCGTGAACTACACGTAAGGGCACGCCATGCCCCGAAACCCTGAAGCCTGAACCCCTAAACCCTCAACCCTTAAACCCTAAACCCTAAACCCTAAACCCGAAACCCTAAACCCTAAACCCTAAACCCTAAACTCAGGATATCCTTCGAGCCGCTGCTGGACAAGTATGCCACGCTCCTGAGCCGCTACGGCGAGCCGCTGTCCGAGCGCCGGCCGCTGGGGTTCCAGCACAAGAGACCGGGCTCGGTGTAGCCCTAAACCCTAAACCCTAAACCCTAAGCCCTAAGCCGTAAACCCTAAACCCAAAACCCTAAGCCTTGAACGCTTGAGTCTGAACCCTAGACCCTAGACCCTAAACCCTAGACCCTAAACCCTAACCCCTAAACCCGAAACCCTAAACCCTAAACCCTCAACTCTCAACCCTAAACCCTCCCCGCTCCCCTCCCCTCCCCTCCCCCGCCCGTCTTGAAAAGTGGTGTCACTACTATGAAAGACTGTTTCTTGAGCTGCAGCAAATCCTAGGAGCCCTAAACCCTAAACCCCAAACCCCAAACCCCAAACCCTAAACCCTAAGCCCTAAACCCTAAACCCCAAACCCCAAACCCTAAACCCTAAACCCTAAATCCCAGGAGAGGCATGGTGTTTCCTTTCGCCGTGTGGTGCGATGCGCCCACAGCCTCCCTCACGGTGACTGACTTTGACAAGTGCAGCTCGGTGCTCAGCACTGCAGCTTGGTAGCCCAGTTGGTACCCTTTTTAGGGTTTAGGGTTTAGGGTTTCGGGTTTAGGGTTTAGGGTTTAGGGTTTATAGGGTTATAGGGTTTATAGGGTTTATAGGGTTTATAGGGTTTATAGGGTTTATAGGGTTTATTGGGTTTATAGGGTTTATAGGGTTTATAGGGTTTATAGGGTTTATAGGGTTTATAGGGTTTATAGGGTTTATAGGGTTTAGGGTTTAGGGTACCCTCTTTTTGTTTGGTTATGGGTTCCCTTATAAAGTAGCCAACCCCAAAAAAAGGGTGCCCTTTTATTGTAAGATGGTTACTGGGCTACCAAGGCAGATGAAGGCTTCCCGCGTGAACGAGAACACTGGCCG